GTGGAGCAGGCGAGTCCAGAAGTGGACGTCATACTTCCACCCAGGGCTCCACACGCTAAGCATCGCGTCCACGCAACGAGTGGAGGGGATGAACAGCGCACTGAAGCTGGTGCTGACCAGGCGGGGAACTTTGGTCGATGTCGACCAGGCGATACTTGGCAAGATCCGAGATAACGCCAACAAAACCGAGAGGTGGGCGTTCTGTGACGTCGGCGTGTATAGTTCGACACAGGCTACGACAATCTCCCGTGTTGACAGAGAAAACCGGTCGATGTATTAAAGCCTCGCAATTGCCGCACTCGCGTGGTTACCGTATGTAAGCGAGTCATATTATGCATGGACGTCGTCCCACGGAGGCGGGGGTGTGCGATGAAGGTTAGGAACCAAGTTTTTGAACAGAGGTGTGAGCTACAATGGGGAATCGAGAGTAACCGCACATATGGGCGACCATACTCGCGGTAGGAAACATATGCGCGATGACAAGCATGCTTTCGGTGCCCGTTCTTGTCTGTCCATATCGTCGGCGGTGTGTTGCAGGAGGACTGCGGGGGGAGCGGTGGGGCGCGCGGCCCTAAGACAGGTGTCGGCCATGGAGCTGGTCCTGCGCGGGCACCGCGAGCAGCTTGCGTTCGTATCTTCGGCGTTGCAGCACGAGCTCTGCAGTGCGTTCGCCATGGAGGTCAGTTGTGTCGCTCCTTCCCTTTCGCGCTCTGGGAAACCCCTTCTGCCGCGTGACTGCCAGAGGGCGATTTCCCTCCGACACAACTGTGTGTGCTTGCATGCCTAGCAGTATCCGTTGGGTTAAGAAGGTGAAGGCATCGTTTACAATATGCTGTTGTTTCTCTCGCACGCCGTCGTTGTACTTGCTGTGAACGACAGGACGCCGGCGCGGAGATCGTGGCATCGCTGGGATACACGGCAAAGACTATCGTCAAGGGCACCGATGGGGTCCAGCGCCTGCTCGCGGAGTTGCGGTCAGATCCATTGAAGGCGAAGCTGCAGTACGACACGAACGCCAACCACTTCATCGAGCCTTCACAGACTACCGCCACCGACGACACCATGGCTACACGTACGTCCGTTCCTCACTACGTTGATTTGCTCGACGGCCAGGGGGTCGAGGAACTCGTGCGCGTCACCCCCTTGATGTCGGCAAGCGAGTACGGCCACCTCGTCGCTCTTGCACCCGCCGGTTTCTACCTCTGCACATGTCTCAGGCAGCTCGTCCACGGGCTGGTTTGCCGTCATGCCATCATCGCCATGCACAAGAAACCGGGGGGCTTCAATGGCGCATCCGTGCATCCCCGGTGGCGGGAGAGCAAGACGCCGTGGACGCTGGCGCCGCTGGCCGATATGCGTGCCAGGCTGACGGCCGACGTCGCGGGGAAGTCCGGAACTCTACTCCCCGCTGACGCAGATGGCGAGGTTTACCCCCACTCCGGCCCCAGCGTCGCTTCTCATGTGTACGCCGTGTCCATCACGTTCGGGAAGGAGCTGGCTCAGATCACCAAGGGACTCGATGTTGACGCATCCCAACGCGTCGTAGAGAACCTCACGAACGCCGCCAAACAGTTCGTCGAGGTGGAGAGGAGGGCTATGGACAACGCTTCCACGAGCCGGGTTTTCACCGGGGTCGTATCGCGAGCCCCGACCGGCGACGCCGACGACAACGTGGGGGTGGGTGGGGGGGCTGGGCGAGGAGGGCGAGGAGGGCGGGGGCGAGGGCAGGGCGGGGGTGGTCGGGGTGGGTCTGGCGTGGGCGGAAGGACAGGCGGAGGGAGAGGCCAGGGTCAGGTTTCGGGGATGCTGGTGCCGGGAAGCATGCCAAGCCCTGCCGAGGAGCAACCCGGCTTGCAACCGGCAGCAGCCGTTGGCGCCATCGCCTCCGCCCCTATTGCTGCCCCTATCGCTTCCCAGCCAGGGGGCTTGGGCATGCCGCTTCGGTCCCTGGACAACGTCAACGCACCTAGAGGGGGCGGGGGGCAGGTTTCACCAGCTCAGTCGACCCCACACCTCGCCGTGCTGGAAGACATTAGACCACCCGAAGCTCAGAGGGTTACAGGAAAAGCAAAGAGGCAACGCTCGGGATGAAGACTCCCGACAGCAGGAGGTCCCTGCTTGTCTTTTGCTGGTTTTTTTTAAGTAGCACTCCTGGTGGCGGGCGTTTGTCCGTCGGCGCACATTTTTTCTATTTCTTTTGTGCGCCTGGTGTTTTCTGCGTCTGTGTGTAGCGTAGGCCGCATTTCGGGTGTTGCCTTTGCCGTGGGTTTGCCGGGACAAGTGCTATGATCAGTGGCTTAAAACGATGGGCGTCGCGTTCAGGCTGCTTGAGTGCGTCGCGCTCTACAGCAATATACATTTAAACAGCATAGTCTATTGATGAAATGGAGAGCGGATTTATTTTTGGAGACTCAGAACGTTTTCGCGTTTCGGGAGCAAAGACTGCCGATTGAGACCTTTCACCCCGGAAAGGTTTTGACCGTATTGAGCGTGCGATCATGTTAAAAAAAAAAACGAAATCGTGTATATCCTTGGCGAGATACGACGAGATACTGGGTGAATTATAGGTGTTGGTTCCAGAACTTGGAAATGGTGAAAGCCTTTCCCTCTTTAATTGCCACGAATTAGGTCGGCGTCCGATTTCCACGATCAAACCACCAAAATGACCGCACGTTCAAGGCGGTCAAAAACGTTCCGCGACCGAAAGGTCTCGATCGGCAGTCTTTGCCGCCAAAATCGCCGAAACGTTCTGAGTCTCCAAAAATAAATCCGTGCTCCAGTCACTACGCAGCAGTAGTGACAGCTTTGTTTATTTGCCGAGGCGTGACTCTCGACTTTGAGCGCTATCTAAGGTACCATTATGATATGCAGTTTCCTAGCGAAGATAATTAGTCTATGTAGAGTTTCCTGGCCTTGTCATGCGCGTAACTTGTTTTGGTGACTTGCTGCCCTGGCATAGTTTGAGTCTCATCTACACTGCTGGTGGTGTAGTGGCGCAAAGCTGCAACACACATTCGGCGTCCAGCAACAACAGATGTACATCCAGCCAGCCGTAGTAGAGTCCTCACCGTGCGGGAGAGCAAACCATCTGCGACAGGCACATCAGTGCTCACAAACCCCCATCTCTATCTCGCACGCGCTCTCTGCCTTCCTCGCAGGGATGCAGCAAGACGATAGACAGACGATGTGGTAGTATCTACAGGTAGACGTCTATGTACGCTTGTTTGTTCCTCCCAATCTTAGGTTGTGCTTGCTGCAGTTCTTGCAGGCTTCGCACGTGTGCAAGGGGTACGCGCCCCGGCACCGGTTGGATGCGGTACGCGCCTGGCTTCACTGACAGACGAGCGCGGGCGTTGTGCGTGCGGAGTTATTCAAAAAAGTGGTTATGTAGAGTGGGGTTCAGGAGGCATTTCTTACAGGCGCCATGCTCTCGTTCGTCTGTACAGGTGCAAATTTTCCGGGCCGGCCTACACAATCCGAGAAAGCAGGAAGCATAAAACATCGGGGGGGGGGGGGGGG